GATAGCAGCTTATTTTTAAAAGAATGTTGGAGCAGTTATAGTTTTCAGCCAACAACAAACACCGGTATTCTCGCTGCTCGCAAGTAATAAAATATCAGCAGTTCTTTAATTACACTCTTGGGACATGGGCTGGGACTCACCGTATCCAGCGTCCGCATAAGTCACAAGTTCGTCAGCACTAGTCGTGACCACAGCCGGAAATGCATGCTGATAAAAAAGACGAAGGAAAGCAAAAGTCTTTGGTGAGCTGATGAAATAGTGTGAACATACAAGACTTCTTAACGTCCATAGATAAAGCACAGCACACATACTTGTGCGAGTACGAGTACAACAAAAATGTCTATCAGTCACATTTGAATGTTGCAAAGACTCGTCGGCGTCGCGCTGACTCAATGGGCCTCAAAGTATACAGAAGTACATAGAAGGGAGGGAGAAATGGCGATAAATCAGCGAGCAAAGTCAAAGATGCAACAGTGCCCTGGACCGGCGACGGCAACATTAAAGTGAACTCGACTAACGCGCAATTGGCGAGGCACATGCGCCGCCTGCCTATGGTGCAAGTGGGTGTCCATAATCTAAGTACTTGTAAGCGGGTGCCAAGCACCAACCGCCACTTTTCCTTATCAGCCAACGGGGCAAGCGGCTCTGCCAATAATCAAAAGTGTAGCGAATTCAGTGTTTAACGTTTAAAACCGCAATGCTTACAGTCTGTCATATATGTTTTCGATTTCGATTACTTTTAAAAAGTCACTCGACTTTTTAAATCACTATTTCTTTATTATACATTTTCGTCAGCTTAACGTTTAAAACCGCAATGCTTACAGTTTTTGATAGATGTTTCAATTTCGATTGCTTTTTAAAAGTAAATCACTCGAAATTTTAAATCACTATTTCCTCATTATACATTTTCGTCGGTTCAACGTTTAAAAACGCAATGCATTCAGTTGGTTATAAATGTTTTTAATTTCGATTAAACATTTGGGCATGTTGAATGAATAATTTTGAAAACTTGCCCTTATTTGCAACTGGCTTCAAATGGCTACAAATTATTTTCACTTTTCTTTTTTTCTGCTTTAATTGCCACTACAAGTATTTCATACAGCGTATTCAGAATTTAACGTTTAAAATCGCAATTGAATAGATTTAGTTTCTTGTTGATTCAAGAGCTACTGTCACTTCATCATATTTTAAATATATGCCAGCTTTCCATCAATAACAAAAGAAGTTCACAGTGTGTTGTACTTACTTTTTGAAAAGCAGTGAAAAAAGTCAAGAATTAAAAGACGAAAGAAGCTCTCAAAACACGTTCATAAATTATCGTAATTCAAAAAATAGTTATTAGGAAACTAAATTAATTTATTTCGGTGCAAAATTTTGGAAATATGTTGCAGGCTACTAGAATCTTCGTATTAGAATGCACAGAAGTTTTCGAATTAGTTAAAGCAATAATGAAAGCGGAGTTAAAAATGTTTCTTTTTGTGAACAAGTGTGCACATTTTAGCGATACCCTTCCTCGACTTAGTAGCTGTGGTCTTTTCCCACTCAATCAGCGGGTCTATGCTGTTAGCTCGCCCTTCCATCAACAGCCTCACATGAGCCAACGACGTTTTTCACATTCCCGACGACTGAACAAGAATTTTTTTTAATTTTTTTTGGTTTGTAAATTGCGCTGATAAACAAAAGTGCGTCAGTCAGAAGAGACACAGGCAGCGGGGTGATTGGAGTGAAATGCAGTGCAGTGGAGACGTCGGCGACGTTTGTGCCATATTTTTTGGTGATTAAAAAAGGATATGTCGTCAGCAACTGGCTGTGATGGGCGGGCGACCGCCTCCATAATGATGAAATATATATAATTTAGCACATTTCTGAGAACTGCGCGCTGCCGGCTGCGCTTCTTTTTTCCTTTGACGCGAGACTTTAATTAAAAAAGTTGCGCTTTGTGGTCAACAGAGCGCAGTCATATTTTGATTTTACGCTATCTTTTAATATAATTAAAATGTTTGAGTTGATATTGTTGTTGTTCTCGTTGTTGTTGTTGTTACACTTAAAGCAATGCCCCACAACAATTTACAGCGTCTGTTTGTTGCTTGCAATGTCTAAAAGCAACGCACAGTTAGTCAACGCATCCTGATTTTTCAACAAAATTTAAAAAATCCTAATCAAGAAAGATACAAACCTTTTGCATAAATGTTCCTATATTTGTCGACACACATTTTCAAAGTATAGTGTGAAACTGCGATTAGGACGCTAATATATACGAGTATTAAATGATTTTTGGTAATATTTAATAATATTGTGCTTTTCTTTATATCATTTCACGCTTATATTCTGCCTAAGAGTTGCTGACTTTTTGAATAAATCACAAACCAACCACAAACAATTATATAATAAAATTTTTTTTTAAAACGCCAAATCAGACAATTTTTAAAAGATTAAAGCATACCAACTGAACCAGATTGATTTTTGTTGGTACAATTAAAGAACAAGAATACAAGAACGAAACCGAAAAGGTCGTCTCTGGGTTAGTAATACCTTCTTTCTTTTCCCAAGAGATTTACAATTTGAACGAGAAGGTTGTCTGACAATTTTTACTTTTGGAAAAAAGATTTAACAACAAAAAAATATATCAAAAGTGCTTTGTTAAGGTTACTCTATCGCGGCACCAAGTATTTCAGTGAGAGCCGTGTGGTTCTAGAAAAATTGCATTGTTCGAGCTCTGTTAAGTAAAGTAAAGGAAATTGTGATCGAAAATTTTCGTGATGGCAGTAGAGAGGCGTTCAATATCTGTGATAGATCAACTCGGGTGAGTTGATCTATCTGATCAGACTGGGTAGTCTTAGTGTTGTTTTTTTGCTAAAAAAAAAAAAAAATGACTGACTTTTCTTATTTAATTTCTCTGTTTACTATACAAGAAGAAAGGAAAACCAATTTTGATTTGAACGAAGGGTATTACGAATATTTATAAACTAAGTAACTGCTTTAAGCTGTACAGATCAATTAAATGAGTTTGACAGTAATGGATATAAAAGCAGTTTGGCGATTTCGATTCCACATTTTTTTTTTTCAACCGAACTGAATAGTTATGCAATAAAATACACAATTGTACATTATAGTTTTATTTGAAGTTTGAAAATGCTAGCCATTTTAGCGAAAATGAATGCCATTTGATGTATTAATACCTTATAATTACTAGTTACTTAAAAATGTGAGGGGATTACAAATTACGGGCCAGCAAAAGGAATTGTTTGTATTTCAGTGGCTCCACATAATAATCGTTTTCTTGCTTCAGAGCAACCTTCAAAATAGGGAAAGGCAAACATAAATATGGTTTTCCAATAAATGAATACAAGACACAGTATACTCGTATTTAATAATATTAATTTTCAATTCTGAAATTTGCGTCCGTTGACCCACTATGCACCGGCTCGTCATTATTAGTGTGTGGAAAATATTAACAGAATATTTCTCAGAACAAATATGTGCTGCAGATTCTATTCAGCAGTCAAGCTATGGTGGCTCACAGCAACAACACCAATAATACAGCAGGACAACAGGAAACAATTTTTCATATAATGCATGTTTTTATTGCCCGCCCACCCACACACACACGCACACACACACAACAAAATCTTTTTGGCCAATATGCATAGTAGCAACATCTTCCTCTCGGCTGGTAAGTATGCTTGCATTTTTGCTTAGCAGCAGGACGGACAAAAGGACGAAGAAGAGATGGCAGTGTGGCTCATAAGACAATATAAAGTATGACAGCCATTTGGCAACACTTTGCAGGGCCGTTAGCAGCTCAAGACGATGTTGCTTGGGCCAAAATAACTTTTTAAATTGTTAATGCGCGCCCTCAGACAAAAGAGCTGTCATAATTCGTTGCAAAATATTGTCACACTCACAAATATCTACACACACACAACAAGCATCCATATGAGGCCAATTTCGTTTGGCTAGCGTTGGGCATTAGCAGCCATTATGACGCATTTTTATTTGCCTCAATGTTGGCAACACTTGAGCGGAAGTGCGCGCCATTTTCTAATATTGTAACGGAAGTAATTAATATGGGCAATAAATGTGGGGGCCAACAAAGCAGCTGCACTGATAGTCACAATTACAATAACGCCAATGGTAACGACTCTAGTGGGTATTTAAATGCATAGATACGAAGTGGCATTTGAATAAAGAACTCGAGTTTTAAAAGAAAATCAGCTGTGAACTATATACGTTATAAAACACTGTACAGTTATATGGACTCTATAATGCCAAGACCGATTAAATTGTCATCTCATCTAAGGCAACAATATATTTTTAACAAAACATCAAGACAGTTGCTGAAAGGATTGTGGACAGCAAAATTATTTTATGACTCCTTGGTAGTAATAAGAAGAGTATTCCAGAGATATTCAATTTTTTTGAAGTCTTGTTTTAATTTTGAATTTTGTACAATTGAATTTTAGTTTAGTTTTCTTAAAGAAAACTATTTATTTATTTATTTATTTATTGTTAATTATTCCTAGTGCATACAAAGATCCAAGTTTCCCTAGTGAACTATATCAGGTGGAAGTTAGAGTCCTACAAAAGGACACATTTCCCCAACCATTTTTGGTAGTAGCACGTTTTACATACTACTTGTAGTATACTGGAACAATCAGAACAACAAGCAGAAGGAACTATCGCATATATCCCTCCTGATACCACATGCATAAAAATACATATATATAAATGCTTATATACTACAAAATACTGTTCCTCTTTAAAAGCTGGACGCATTCAAAAGTTTCTTTAGTCCATATTTGAACCGTCAATTTGAAAGATTTTAAAAACTTGTTCTGTTTAAAAGCTTTTGTACATATTTTCCAAAGGTTTTATAATCGAAATATCCTCGACATACACGTACTTCCATGTTCCATTCCAATTTAAAATATTTTAGCCGGAATAAGTTTATAACTGTAGCATATTTCCTAAAAACGTCTACATATTTTAAAATTACACTTCAACGCTACTTCTCTCGGCTCATCATGTCCTTTCCACTGAAATTTGACAAAAGCGTGCTGCAGGAGTTCGGTGCTGGCTTCATGGTCTATGTGGAGAAACACAAATTGCTCGATGTTATAAGTCGGGCATTGGCCGAGATTTCCTTGCAGCCGCCAGAGGATATTCGCTATTGGTTGGGCGCCAATATACGACGCATAGCGCAGGGTATTTATGCCAAGGCATTGGATGCCTTTTATCGTGGGGAGCAAGGCGAGGGCTTCCAGTTGCGCAAGAACTTTTATCATCGTATTGTCCTGCATGGCCGACCCGGTTCGGGGCGTCACAGTTTGGCGCAGGAGCTGAGCAAACGTTGGAATCTACTCATATTGGACGCCGATGTGCTGGCCTATCACCACATCAATGGCTATCAGCAGGACGAGTATGCCAAGCAACTACAATTGGGAATAGAACGCGATTGTGTCTATACCAGATCGGAGGCTATAGGCAACATTATACGCAAGCGCCTGTTGCAGGACGATGCACTGCATCGAGGTTGGATATTGTATAACTACCCGAATAACAGTTGCGAGGCACGCGAACTATTCGAGGGCTTCACAGTGCCGCCCAATCGGTTTGTGTTCCTGCAGATCGATGAGCGCATGGCGCGCATGCGTGTTGTCACAAAACCGTACGCGCCAGATCCCCAAAATAATTTCATCTATTTGGATCGTCAGATGCAACAGTTCCGCAAAAGTGAGCCGGCACTGAATGCATATCTCAGTCATCGCCGTGAAGTAATCTACATTGATGCAACGCGCTGTTTCGAGGAGGTCAAGTGTCACATCATGTCGCAGCTGACAAAGACACCCTATATGGTGGGCTATAAATTTGGCGACGTAACTGTTTCGGACTGAGTGAAGTGGCATGCGCTTCGGAGAGACTAAAATTGTGGAAATTATTGTTTAAATTGTTTTTTTTTTCTCGTTTGCACAGTGGAACAACAGACTTGGAAAACTGCTTCATTTAAAGAACGCTGTTTAAAAATCTAAAATCATCTAAAAAACAACAATACGTAAAATTGGTAATGGCCAACATTCTAAAAAAAAAAAATGTAAAGCATAAAAAGAAGAGTATAAAACATCCAAGAAATCAAAATTAAAAAAATTTATTAAAAAGAACTACTCCATTGAAAAAACACACAATACAATTTTTGACTGAAATCTTCAATATTTTCTGCTACTAGCAGCTCAAGAAAATTAAATTTTTAAACATTTACTTAAAATATTTTTCGCATGTTAGAGAACTTCAAGCAACCAAGAAGTTAGGTTGCATTCTACTTTAAATTATTAAATCATTATGATTTGACTAATCAAGCACAAACAATCGAAATGATGATTATAACCAAATTTTTGTTACTGGTCCGGGTGAGCAGCGATTTTTGGAATATTTATATATTTATTTCTATCAAAACTCGATCGGCATTTTAACTAACTGACTTTAAGGTCGATCTGCATTTTAACTAACTGACTTTAAGGTCGTAATATACTACTAATATACTACTATACATTATTGAAATATATGATGATAAAATACGCTCAAAATTCTATCAAAATGGAAAGTCGCTTTGAAAACTAAAAATAAATTTGTTTGCTACAAGCTGGAGCAAACGCCCATTAAAACGGATGAGCGGGGCATGGCCAATGAGTGTTTCAATAAAATTTTGTCTTAAAAAATGTCGGGTTTTTATTTAGGTGTAGTTTAAATCAACGCTCTAAGTGCAAGGCTGTTTGAAATTTGATCAGAGTAAAATGATTATTCCTTATTATTATCTACACCCGTTAGAATAGTTGGAAATAGAAGACAAACTCAAATCGGAGAATTAAATTTAATACTTTTGACTTGCCTGGCCCACTGTGGTTCAACAAAGCCGCAACAAAGACACGCCACAGGCTTAGTTATGGGGGCGAAAAATATGAAAATTCCTGTTCAATAATTTCAGTCTTTGTTTTCATTATTTTGTTTACTATTTACTCAAGTGGTTCGCGTAGCTACTCACTTTACACATTGAAATAAGTTGTTGTTCTTATTGTTTTTGGGGTCAGTCTCTTTTGGTTGATGTGCCGACCGTCCAAGCTTATCAGGCAATGACTTGGTCGCGACGTCGCGTCGTCAACAATTCGAATTCAAATTGCGCCTCAAATATTTTTTAACGGCTTTTCTTTGCTCTCAACCCCACGCTTTTGTGAAAATGCGCGCACAATTTTCGTTTAGGTAAACAAAAAAAAAAAACAAAACAAGCAACAACAACAACAAAAAGTGATTTCAAATTATTGCTATTTGAATTTTTTCCACCACTGAGAGCCGCAAGCAAATAAAAAGAAATGCGGCCGCGCGACAATAAAAGCAAAACGAAAAAAAGAAAAGAAATATAAATACTGAACAGCAAAAACAAATGATTTTATGGCCACAACTTAAGTGCTCAATTTTTAATTGTTTGACGACACTGATAAGTAGCCGAGGCAAGCGGCAGACAAGAAAATCAGCGAAAGAGGCTGAGGAGGAGGCAAGAATTTCAGAGCAGGCGCTTTTATGGCACCCCAAAGTTCAATCAAAGCTGGCAGTTGGCAACTAGCGTTAAATTAGAGGCACAGGTTGGACTCATTAAGCAATGCCCAGACGTATCATAAAAAAAAACCGAGCCAATAATTATAAAATAGAAACTGTGAAAATAAACATTATATATATTTGGAAAAAGTTAGTTTTATTGCATAAATTCATTTCGATTGTTAATTTCTTTTCACATTTTAACGCACCACCTTGATGTCGATGTTGAAACAGCAACGTTTGCCGCTCACCGCATCCTTGAGGGCCCAGCGTATGGTGTAGGCACTGGTTGGGAATTTGGGCTCGATGGGCACCTGTAAGGTATAGGTTTGCTGCACTCCACTCTTCACCGGACATGGCGTAGCCTTGCAAGCGTCCCGCTCCAAAGTAACCAACGGCAGGTGCTCCGTCTCGCTCTTCACCCACACCAGTGTAGCATCCAACTTATCCGCATCGAATTTGGGCGTAAAGTCAAAACTCATGATCGAGTTCTTGCGTCGTTTTATGTGGCAGGCTGCATTATTGGCCGCCTGTGGACACGGATCCACACGCACCTGGTCAACCGTACAGCTATCCACGCTATCGTCGCAGTTGCTAAAGTTCACCACCTCCCCACTCGACACAGCGATCAGGAGCAGCAGGAGCAAGGACAACGGCAACGACAACATGACGACAACGTCTGAGTGACTGCTCGGGAAGCTTAAGACTGAATGCCTTGAGTCTCGGCTCAAGCGGCTCACTTGTCATTTGCTTATCATCCCAGAAATATGACCTGCAAATCGCAGGGGTGCTCTCTATTGGCGATAAGCATCGTAATTAGTGCGTCCCAGCTAGAGGGTTACTGCCCCGCTGCTTAGCCCAACGATGCGATAAGCAAGCATGTGCTGCCAGACATGATACGATAAGCACAGTGTATAGTGGTTCAAAATCATTTCTCAAAATTAACAAACCACACATATGCATACATATACACACATTCTTCAGGCAAATTAATTTATTTCGTTTTGGTTCAAAAACAATCAGTTGAATACACAGGGATAACGAGACGAAAGGTTTGAGCAAGCCGGAGAAAAAATGCATGACTTTTAAGCGATAAAAGCAGCATTGAACTTATGAAGTCATCAAAAACAAAATGCATTTGCTCATCGAAAGACAAGCATTATAATACTTATATAAAGTTTTGATTCAGAACTGAATTTTTTCAAATATGAAACACATTCTACCGATTGCAGTGTTCTGTTACGAGTATTATTATGAACATAATACAACTACTTGTGAGCTTATAACAACAATCGAATTCTTCTATAACTCCACTAAATTCGATTTTCCAAAATATTGCGCTTCTTAAAATTGAAGAAAAATAATTAGGAAATATTAAGAATAACATTTTTAAATAAAGGTCAAACAAAATGAGACAAAACATAAGGCTATAAAAAAATTAAAAGACTTTTTATTTTTTTGAAATCAATAATACTTAAAAAATTGACAAAAATAATTTACAAAAACAAATTGACAAAAACCTAATCAATTTACAGAAGCATGATAGAAAAAATGTCAAGGCTACCATAAAATTTAATAATTTTCCAGCCTAGAACAGATTTTTAATAAACTTTATAAAAAATATATTAAAAAAATATATAATAGTATGAATTATACTGCAATTATCAACAAATTATATTAATTCCATTCATTACTTATTTTAAATAATTATAATATTTAAAATTAAAAAAAAAACATTGCATAGTTACAAATAACTTTAAAATTTGAATTATATTATTTTCTATGTTATACACGTAAGAAATCCATAAATAAATACACATAAACAAATAAAATTAAAATAACAAATAAAATAGTAAATATATTCAAATTTTACCTATTAATTCAAAATTATACAAATTTAATAGATATATGTTAAAAATTTAATTTTGATTATAAAATACGCAAAATTTTTAATTCGATGAAGTAATATACTTAATTTTCAAAGAGTGTTTTCTTTAATTCTATGATTTTTATTTTAACTTTTCTATTTTGTATTTTAAGTATTATACTAACTACAAAACGAAACAAAAATGCAGTTCAAAATTAACGTATACTCTTTAGAAAATGCGTTTTAAACCATTCTTAATAATACAATATATTTTTAAAAATACCGACTCTCACATAATGAATATAAGTATTAGGAAAACATATTTGAATTCCCACTATGTCAACCATAGATAGAGCTCAACAACACCAGAAACGTAAGTTGAATTTAAAGGCATGTCGATTATTTACCTGCCTCTCACTGTACGACAAAAGAGTATCAAGAGCAGCTCAAATAATTACGTCATTCCGCTGTTATCAGCAAAGGTATGTACACATGTGTGGAAGGCATTTGAGGGCATTTGAGACTACAACAACTAATTGGCACAACAACACCTACTCATTAGCACTCACTATATGGCCCGTTGGTGCGGCAGCACATGGCTGGCTCAGACGATCTGCTGACAGGCTGACAAGCAGCTAAACGTTTGTCAAGATGTGCCCGCCCTGAGCACGGCGTCTAATGAGCAACTCCAGCTTCAGCTTGTGCAGCATGCAGCATGCAACAAACAACATGCCTTGTCGATCGACACACTAATCAAACAGAAATTCAGACTCCGAGTTGGCAGTCAGTCATACAAGTACGTTGCACCCACGACCAAGATGTTGCCACGTCTGTCTCCTGGGCGCACACGTCTGTGACATTTGAGACGCGCCCCGGCGCATGACTCCTCTTCCTCTTCAATGACAACGTCAAACTGCTGTCAATAACCAAAAAGACGGACGGATATTGAAGAAAAAATACAGCCACGACAATTGCACGGCTCATTTGCCGGCAAACATGTCAACAAATTGGAAGAACAACAGAAACAATAACAACTAAGTACATTCATAAAAAAAACCGTCAAAGCAGACTTTGTTTCTTTTAAGAAACTGTTACTTAAATGAGAAACGCTTCAAAAAATGAAGTGTTGCCCACAAATTATAGAAGCATTTGCAACGTTTATAAAAATGTTTGTATTCTTACTCTATAAAGAAACTTCGTAAAATATAAAATATATTTATATAAATACAATTACTTAACAGGGTTTTGATGAATATTTCCTTCGTTGAACGCTTAATTTAAGCAATTTTTAAAGACAATATTTTATTATTCTTCATGCTGCAAAAATGCTGTTTTATTTTATTTATTATATAACAATTTAGCTCTTTAATAAATGCTTTCAAAATTATGGTGAAATTTCCTATATATAGGAAAGTTTTTTTTTAAAATCAACGTCATTACTCTTATAGAAACCAGAAAATAAAAAATTGTAACATATAAGTACAACGTTTTCCTGATGCAAGCAGAAAATGAAAACTTTATAAATGCTATATTATTATATAATTGCGTTTAATAAAAATTTGTTATTATAGGAAGCTCGTTTATAAAAACTTGTAAAATGTAATCAATGTTTAAAATATTTAATATTCTATATTATTTTTTCATAATACTTATAAGTATATTTCAAAAAATATATTATGTTAATTTTATTGTTTATAATTGGTTGTACAATTTAAATAATAGGCAAATTTATTTTTTTTTAATTTAAGAATCAATTTTCTGAACGGAAACCATTTTCTTTAAATTCAAAATCACTTTCCATAAATAATTGAGTAACGATTACGTCTAAATTCCTAAAATACTACTTATGTTAAATGTATAGTAATTCTTCATCGCATTGGATACAAAATACAAGGCGCTTCGCAAGGTAAACAGAAAGTTTAAATAATAAAAAATACCCCTTTCGGAATTGGGTGTATATTTTAAGGCTGTTTGTGCCATTCAATATTTGAAAATAACACCAAAACTTTTTTCACATTATTGCGATGGGCTATGAAACGAGTTGTTTTCAATATGATCCTTAAACCAAGCATTGATAACTTTTTGAATAAAAACAGCTCGTTTTCAAAAATAGCAATTCCTTTTAATTTTATAATTTTTTTTCTTTGTCGGCAATTAGCAACAAAGATTTTTGATATCACATTTTTATCATGCCCCAAGGATGCAATTAAATTGACAAAAATATAAATACGAAGTGCCGAGACACATTTTTCTATGCAAAACATGTTTGTAGCTCCCAAATTGTTATTAGCTGTGAAAAATAAAACCAGAGTGCAATTAAAAGAGTAAGAAACTGCGAAACAAGTTTCAAGCGAATTGATAGAAAACTTTCCGACGCTGTCATAATTAACAGCATTTGATGAAAACACGTTTTTCCTAAAAACCCCACCAACCGTCCACTGAACCCCTCCGCGAGCATTTCTCTTTTATTTCTGTTATATTTTTCGCATAAATTATAATATTTTTTTCAGTTCAGCTCGCCTTTTTTATCGTCAACTTTTCGCCTTTATCAAAGTCCACTGAACGGTGAATAAACAAAACAAAACAGAATTAATTCATTAAAGAAATATGCAAAGCATTAAAAAACGACTAACAAGTACAACAACAGCAACAACCATGTCGGTGGGGTGACTACACAAGTCCAAGAAGAAAAAGAAGAAGAGCGAGCGAAAAAAATGAAATTTATGTTTTATTACTTAATGAACTTACCGCAAATTAAACCAAGGGTGCCAGCGGCCGCGAGGCTGTGAAAAAGAGCAACCAAGTCGGCGGCAGCGACGCCTTGTCTTCAATTAATATGCAAAAAATGTCAACACTGGCCAACGATGGTCATCAAAGTGGCAGGAATACCGAAGTGCTGGACGGGGTCGGCAGGGGATGGGGGGAAGGCAGTTGAGTGTGTGATCAGTAAAAGCAAATTGGTTAGCAATTAATAGGGAGTGGGAGCAGACTGCCAGGCGTGAAATGGGTAAGACAGATAACAGATAAGCGGTAAGAGAATGATGATGATAATATAACTTGAAAACTGGCAAGATTTGGTTCCAGAAATGTCACGGAAGAGAAACATTTCATTCGAAGTGAGAAAGAACTTATCACCTCATCAATACATACAAGGTGAGTTCCAAAGTAAACAGGACTTTTTGAATCTAGCGCCCCCTGGTGGCGCTATCTATATGTCGACTGATGCGTTAGAATCTGCTATCATTATCGATTGTCCAGTGAGGATTTCATGACATTTCATCGATTGGAAGTTAAGTTATTGCGTTTTAAGTGTCAGTATGTTTTTGTTATCGGTGCGAAAATGTGCGTCGAACAAAGAGCCAACATTAAATTTTGTTTTAAAATTGGTAAAACTTTTGCCGAAACATTTCAATTGATGGAACAAGTTTGTGGCGATGATTGCCTATCCCGTAGCAGAGTGCACGAGTGGTTTCAACGTTTTCAAAGTGGTCTTGAGGACATAAATGACGATCAACATGTGGGCCAATCAAAATTCGTGATCACCGAAAATTCTATCGAAACTGTGCGTGAATTCATCAAAAATCAGCCGAAATCATTATTGAAATTGATGGAAATGGAATTGCACATCTCCAAAACACCGATTTATCGCATTTTGACCGAACATTTGGGCTTACGAAAGGTGTGTGCACGGTTTGTTCCGCACAAATTGACTGACGACCGAAAATTGCTCAGAATCGATCGACGCTTGTGGCCGATTATTTGACCAAAAATCACATTTTAACCATTAACCAATCGCCGTATTCACCTGATATGGAACCGTGCGACTTCTACAT